TGATTCCGTGATTGGGGTAATCGGGATGGGTGTGTCGGAGGCGGTGCGGTTGGCGCAGGATAGAGGAGGGTTTAGGGCTGTTGTGCATAGGGTTGCTATGAGTCGCAAACGACTTGGCGGCATATAACAACAACAACATATATAATTCAGTTCCTAACAACGTCCTTCATAAGATTTCCCAATTTTAGTATAAGATCCAGTGCACTTTAGTTGTCATGACTTTTTGTTGTTATGTGCCAACCAGTCACCTCCAACTCATGTGAGCCTTTGTACAGTAGATCAAAGCCTTACCGATTCAGCACTGTCTTCGCAGTCTCTGCTTTGCTTTAAGCTCTTTGTTGCAGTCACATTAGTCCATTTCATTAACGGTCTTCTTTTAATTTAGAATATTTGCAATAACTTATTTGTCCTTAAATACATTGGCATTTTTACTTAGCAATTTTCATGTGAATAAAATCATGTAACACGTGGTTAGTCATAACAGGCTTTTTAAATTAGTTGTTATGTTCTGTTCAGTCACAACCTGTCACCCATTACGACCCTATGTACAGTAGCTCTGAACCCTTCCCTGTCCTGAGCCAGTCTCACTAATTCCTCTAACCCTCATTGCCCCAGTTACTGTAGCAATCTTTCTCATCTGTAGTCTTCCTCTCCTTCAGTGTACATCCACCTTTCCAAGCATGATGTCCTTCTCCAAGAACCCATCTCGAGCATTAAAAGTAGAATGAAATGCCTCAGTCACAAGGACAAATACTGCATAAGACCAATGTTATGAAAATATGATAGACTGGTATAGAAGGAAGAACAGGAAAAGAATAGATAGATAATGAACACTAAATAAACTGGTATAGGTGAAGGACTATCTGAAAGGAATTAAGATTTGACACGTGTGACAATTAACAATTTGTAAGAAAGCATGCATTACAAATTCAATTGAGAGAGAGAAAGGAGAAAAATGTATGTTAATGAATGTATGAAAACCCAACCCTTCACTAAACTTGCACTAACATCACAATTTTTTTAAAAAAGTATACTGTGTCATTGCTGAATTCTTTATGTTGAAGACAGACAAAATTGAAATATAATTATTTTAGCTTGAATTAATATCCATAATTGTAAACTTTAACATGCCTTCAGAAACTATAAATTTTTATAAATTTCAATAGTTGTAGAGGGGCTTCAGGCCTTTTGTTCATAGGGTCGCTATGAACTGTGCTTCACTTGAAGGTAATAAACAACAACTTCTGCTTATACTTATCAGTCCCATTTTGGTGGTCTTTGATTTTAGTGAGATAGGAGTAATGTAAGATATGCTTTAAATCCATTTCTTTTGAGATAGAATTGAGCTTAAACCTGAAAGCTTTAATAATGAGAGTTGTGGGAAGACATGCCAAGTCACAGGAAGATGATGGCGGAGCTACAGAATAAGGGCTTTCCCTAGACCCAGCACCCTGAATTTGGGGTTTTAGCTTTTTAAACTGTGGGAAAATAAAATGAAGGTTTGTTAAAGCCATCCATTTATGTTATTAGTAGCATTAGATAACTAACGCAGTAAAAAGGGGGGAGAAGCAAGAGTGTATTTTACGTACTTAAAAATTTTTCATTAACCTTTTGCAGGTTCGGGTCTTCAGACCACCCAACTACTCTGGCACTATTGCTTTGGCCCTGTTAGTGTCACTTGTCGGTGGTTTGCTTTACTTAAGGAGGAACAATCTGGAGTTCATCTATAACAAGACTGGTTGGGCCATGGTGTCTTTGGTATGCTATCCCCTTGGACTTTTCCCCTCATATTTCTGTGTGTAATTATATATTATATAATGGTAGGAGAGGAGCCAGAATTTATCTATAATAATAATAATATCTTAATGGGAAGAGTTAATTTTAGAACCTAATAAGGTGATAGCTTATTTCTTTACTACCAATCGCTCTAGAAAAACTTACACTCACTGTACACCAAATTTTTTGTGACTATACTAATGGTACTCAAATATTCATTGCTGTTGTTTTGGAACTGACTCATACCTGATTTTCTGGTGGGTTTTTAGGAAGTTGTCAATGGCATAGAAAGACATTGCCCGTTTTTCTCCTGCAGAGCTACTTACTAACGGATGTGAGTCACCGGAGTGGCATCGTTTTTGGGTTAGGAGCGCAGCTATCTATGAACTACCTCTAGCTCTATATTAATGATAAACAAATAGAATTTAAAACAAAAAGTTAATAGCTATATAAAGAATTATTTAATGGTTAAGTGCACGAAAGATGATAATGTGATGATTACATTGTATTTAAGAAAATTATTTTAAAACATGTTAAGCCAAAATTGAGTGTTTCAAAGAGAATTTTTTTTTTAAAGTTCAGTAACAATTATGAAATATGCCACTATCTGTAGTGCTCTCTGGTGACCTAGTGGTAAGAAGTTGTGCTGTAATCCCAAAGGCATGCAGTTTGAATCCACCTGATGGTTTATGGGAGAAGGAAGGGAAATCTCCTCCATTTACTGCCTCTAAAAACCTGTTCTGAGGGTTCAGGGAGCTCTCTTGGTCTAGTGACAAGAATCTGTGATGCATTCCCAAAGGCATGTGGTTGGAATCCACCAGATGCTCTGCTGGAGAAGGAGAGGCAGTCAGCTCCTGTGCCAGTTGGATCTGACCTGTGCCAGTCGGATCTGACTCGATGGCACACAACAAGTTTAAAAAAAAAACCAAAACACCATAAACCTGTTTGAGGGCAGGCAGTGAATAAGGTCTGACTCAGCAGCACACAACTATAGTAATCACTATCTGTAATTGCCATGTTTCTGTATTTAAGTTTATTCAGAACTAAAATTGTACATTATTTTCAAGTGCACATAAAATATTTATAAAAATGGCATCAAGAAATTCATTATAAGAAAAGATAGGTTGTTGTTATGTACCCTCACTTGAACTGATTTATAGTTGAAGCTTCAGCCGATTTTCAAAGGCAGTAAATCACATGGAAGGAGATTGCCCATATTTCTCCTGCGGTGTAGCTAATGGATTTGGATTGCATACTTTTGAGTTGGCAGTGACATTCCTTACCGCTAAGCCATACAAATCCATGCAAATTTTAAAAATCAATATAATACAGAGTCTGTTTTATACTTTATTAATGTAGCTAATTTAGAAATTAACACAATATTTGAATGAAAAACAAAACCATGTCAGTAAACTAAAAATGAACTTTTAAGTAATTAGAAAGTAAAGAAAAAAAGAAATAAAAAAGTAAACAATAAAAATGATGAAACATGTAGAACATAAATGGTTAAGGTAAAACATGTCACAATTTCTATTAAATTGTCCAGGTGTAAAAATCTTTCAAGTAGTATTACTACAAGAATTATATTTGTTAAAGACACAAGAAAGTTGCAAAGTAATATCATTGCCCAATTTCAAGTTATGCTGATAAGCAAGTAAATGTGAAAGGATAGAAATCAGAGGGAGTGAAGATAAGGGTTTTTAATATTTTATAGAAAAGGGTTTTTTTTTAAAGTATATTTCACTTTTTGTGTTTGGTTAAAATTCATTTATTAATGGATTGTAATGGATCTGATGAATGATCTTAATCACTCTTATCATTAAGTGTAAAAGTGTTTTGATAAAATTACAGTACTTGATTGTATTTTTAGAATGTTAAAACTGTTTCACCATCTAAACAATGATATTGTTGTTGTTGTTATGTGCCGTCAAGTCGTTTCCGACTCATAGCGACCCTATGCACAACAGCCCTTAAACCCTGCTCTATCCTGCGCCAACCGCACTGCCTCTGACACACCCATCCCGATTACCCCAGTCACTGAATCGATGCATCT